TACCTAAAGGGGGCCTATAGGAAAGATGCGGAAAATCTTTTTAGTAGGGCCAGCTGTGACAGGACAAGGGGTAATGGTTTTAAACTAAACCAGGGCAGGTTTAGACTAGATACAAGGAAGAAATTCTTTACAATGAGGGTGGTGAAACACTGGAACAGGTTGCCCAGAGAGGTAGTGGAGGCCCCATCCCTGGAAGCATTCAAGGCCAGGTTGGACGGGGCTCTGAGTAACCTGATCTAGTTAGCGGTGTCCCTGCTCCCTGCAGGGGGGTTGGACTAGATGACCTCTAGGGGTCCCTTCCAACCCAAAACATTCTATGATTCTATGAACAGCTGCATTACAAGTCCTCTTTCCTGCTAGTGAGTCTGTATTGTATCTGGTATGGCGCAAATGATCATTCAGCCTTACTGAAATCGTTAACATAAAAAAGTCAAGCTACAGCTTTATCTATGTTGCAGACTCTTGGATTTCCATCTGAGGCCTGCAAGACTCGCCATTAACTTTAATCAGAACTGGATCCAGGATCACAGGGAATTAATTCCACAGAAATACGGCCACACTGAAAGAAAGTTACTCTGTCTAATGCATGGCTTTCAGTTTAAACCTGACAATTAGTGCAGCCTAAAGCTGAATAATTACCTTGTTCAGTCTCAAACTGATATTTGTATGCCTTGCTGTCAGAATATTTAAAAATAGGCTGCAGTGTAATGAAAGAAAGTTTGGGTTGTCTGACGTTCTCCCTCCCCCACCCCATCAAATTCTAACTTCTTATTCTACTGCAACATGCCAAAGCAGAAATACCCTGGCTTCCCTGTTCTGAGCTTTCTTCTGCATTGTCTGATGTCCTCTGAGTACAGCCTACTGAACAAATACGCTCAACGTTTAAGACTCATTTGCTAACAATTTCTATGAAGGTTACCGCAGGTGATAGTAAGCATAGTGGGTTTGATTCTTTAGAAACCTGGGCTATAAGTATATATATATAAAGTATATATATAAGTAGCCTAACTGTATTTTGGGAGGGCAATGGAGATGGGGAATAGTTGCTATAAGCTGTTGTGATGCTCAGTGTCCAGCTAGCAGGACTGGAGCTTTAAATAACCCATGGGGTACATTGGCATGGTGCAAGGAACCAGGTTTCACACCTATCTGATCTCTGCTTGCCCACAGCTAGCGCCTGCGGTCACTGAAATGCTTCCAACTGTTCGGGTCACTTACGACGCTGACACATGGCTAACATTTACTACAGGGCGGTATGCAGATATTATCTGTCTTTGCTTCACAAAGGACCAGCAGGGTTTGGGGTTTTTTATATTTTAAACAGAAATTGTTGCGAAGAGCTATTTTTATAGCGTGTCTGCCTTATTTACAAAGTGTCGTTATTTACTGAAACCAACAAACTTTACCTTTGCGTTCATCTTTCTCATGTTAATTGTATTACTGTAGGTAAATGGTACTCAATGTAATTTTGGATTCAAACACCCATTGAAGTCAATGGAAGTCTTTTTAACTGACAAAATGGGATCTGCATCAAAGTCTCTAAGAATAAAGGAGAGGCAAAAAAAAAAAAGAAGAAAGGAATAGTGGCAATAGGCAGAAAGGGAAGCACTGTAGAAGATTCTTGATGCCAGTAAGTACACTTGCTTATTGCAACCAGGAAAGAGCACAAAAGAGAGGAGCAAAGGCGCTATTGGGTGTCAAAGCTG